CTTTATGGAGCTGGCCAAACCATGTCTTTATGGAGATGGCCAAACCATGTCTTTATGGAGCTGGCCAAACCATGTCTTTATGGAGCTGGCCAAACCATGTCTTTATGGAGCTGGCCAAACCATGTCTTTATGGAGCTGGTCAAACTATGTCTTTATGAAGCTTATCTATATGGAGCTGGCTTTGTACACAGGGGCACAGTAATGTGGGAACAGAAAAGGATCTTCACCAAGCTGTTGCCACAGGACCAGAAGAGCACAATTATCTACAATGTCTTCGTATGAGGTAGTATTAACAGAACTCTTCACTGGAGACATCTGAATAGTGTAGATATATAGTTCAGTTCTATATATCAGTCATAACAGATATCTAACAGGAAAGATGGATGGGGGAGGGGAGGGTTTGGATATGGAAGAGGTTTGTCAGTATAGTGTCTATACATTTTATGAATATGTTCCTTCTTTCCTTTCCAGGGACAGAAGAAGATCCCACAGGAGAAGTTAAACCGCGTTGGAGAGCTAGTGGAATCCTGGTTCTTCTTCTCACTGGTGTGGAGCGTTGGGATCACTGGAGACTCTGATGGCCGAGAACTGTTCAGTAAATTCCTGAGAGACAAAATGGCAGCTGAAAAGGTAAGATTAGATAAAGTACATAAATGGAAAATGCAAGTCATGTTCATCGAGTTTCTGTCATAGAAAACGGAAAGGTCCATTATAAAGTCCATAGCAGTGAAGCAGAATCCTTCATTTAATGCTCCATGCTACATTGAAGATATGGTGGAAGAAGCTCACTAGTTGAAATTATCTACAAATACTATTCTTCTCTTTATTCATGAGGCCCTGATTGTTGAAATCCTTCTACAGAGCCTCCACCTATTAATAGCAGATCTATGGTTTGTTGGCAGGTGACATTATTGTTTCCAGAAGAAGGCTTGGTCTATGACTATGTGTTGGATGATGCTGGAATAAGCAGCACTGCTGAGGAAGAGGATGAAGATATCCAACGTAAGGTGAGACTTGGCGTTATCCAATCACGTGTCCGTAATATCATACATGTTCTCTGCTCTGTGTAAATCTGCTTCTTCCCCACTTTAGGTGCGCTGGGTGAACTGGATGGAATCTTCCGCCCCCTTCTCCATCGCCCCCGACACCAGTTACGCGGATATCATCGTACCCACATTGGACACTGTAAGGATGTCCCACCTCCTGGGGCTGCTACTCACCAACAAGAAGCCAGTAGGTGTTACATTGTTTCTTCAAGTGCGTGAGAACAGCAAGAGGAAGGAGTTTTGTGTTGCTGGGTCCCTGAATGTTCAATCGACTTCTGAAAAGTCTGCAGGATCCACATATTACAGCCGATTGACAAATGACTAGAGAGATTTCAGGCACAATGTAGAGCAGAATTCTGTGAACTTTTCAGCATGACGGCCATATATATTTTATAAATATCTGTCTGCCCAAAAAAAATCAGTTTTAAAATGAATGAAGGATATGAATCAGAGCAACAGAGAAAAAACTTCAATAAAGTAAAGCAAAAACATTCCAGATCACCTTAAAGGGCGAGCAAAAATAAATTCAGTCTTCTCTAATCAGTCCCACTTTACATCAAAGTTCTCCCTTACATCAGGATCCCCATTAGAGTCCACCTTACATCAGGGTCCCCATCAGAGTCCCCCTTTTACATTGAGGTTCCCATCAGAGTCCCTCTTTACAACAGTGTTACCATCCTAGTCTGCCTGAAATCAGGGTTCCCATTAGAGTCCAGCTTACATCAGGGTCCTCATCAGAGCCTCCCTTTACATTGAAGTCTCCATCAGAGTTCCCCTTTACAACAGTGTTACCATCATAGTCCAGCTTACATCAGGGTCCTCATCAGAGTATACCTTTACATTGAGGTCTCCATCGGAGTCCCCCTTTACAACAGCGTTCCCATCAGAATCTGCCGTACATCAGGGTCCCCATTAGTGTCCACCTTACAATGCGGTCCACATCAGTGTTCCCCTTTACATTGAGGTCTCCATCAGAGTCCCCCTTTACAGCAGCGTTCCCATCAGAGTGTGCCTTACATCAGGGTCCCCATTAGAGTCCACCTTACATCAGGCTCCTCATCAGAGTCTCCCTTTACATTGAGGTCTCCATGAGAGTCCAGCTTTACATTGAGGTCTCCATCAGAGTCCCCCTTTACAACAGTGTTCCCATCAGAATCTGTCTTGCATCAGGGTTCCCATTAGAGTCCACCTTACATCAGAGTCTCCATCAGAGTCTAGGTTTACATCGAGGTCTCCATCAGAGTTCTCTTTTACATCAGTTTCTCAATCGGATTCCTCCCTTACATCAGTGTCCACATCAGAATCCCCCTTACTTCAGAGTACGTCTTACTTCAGAGTCCCCTATTGCATCAGGTTCCCCATCAGAGTCCCTCTTACCTTTATAATTAGGATATAGAGTGCTGCAGCAGCAGGATGGGAGCTCGGAGGTAGACAGAGGAAGTTCTATTTTCTTGTAAATGCTGGGGTCATGCATATCATTGGTTGCTAAGATGCTAGCGGTCCTAGCAACCAATGCCACAGGGCAGTGGGGGGGAACCTGAAGATTGTGCTGGGGGTGCTGTTGGAGAGGAGGACAATCGAATGGTGCACATCAGCTACAAACTGGATAAAGTCTTGTAATGGGTCACATGTGGCGTTGCAGCTGGCCAGTTAACATGAAATATCAGTTTCTCCATCAGGAAAGGTTGACTATGAGATATCATTGGAGAAGAGAAGATGTTAATTTTCAGTATGTGACATTTTTATGTTCATCGGTCATATATTAAGTTCTTTGTTTTCTGGCCGATCTCAGGTTCTCTGCATTGGTCCCACCGGCACAGGGAAAACCCTGACTGTCTCAGACAAACTTCTGAAGAACATGCCGCTGGAATACATCAGTCACTTCCTCATGTTCTCTGCGCGGACATCAGCCAATCAGACGCAAGATCTCATAGACAGCAAACTGGACAAAAGGTAAGAGGCCCGACTGTGTGGAGTCATGGTGAAGCTCGGGGGAGGGCCCTCACTAAGTCCGTGTATGGGTCATCCACATCACAAAATGAAAGTATGGTTCGCCAACCAGTCACAGGTGTCAAACTGGCGGCCCTCCAGCTGCTGCCAAACTACAAGTCCCAGGAGGCATTGAAAGGTTGACAGGTACAAGCATGACTCCCAAAGGCAGAGGCATGGTGGGACTTGTAATTTGGCCACAGCTGGAGGGCTTCCAGTTTGGGCTTCCTAATCAATCCTGCTTAAGCTCCCAGCTTTTAAACCATTTTTCTGGAAACTTTCCAACAGTGGGCGGGCGCCACACCCACTATAGGAGGAGCTAGCAGAAAGGTTCCACGAGGATAACAGAGTCACGCTCAGCCACCATATTGATTCCATATTGTTATCTGAAAAGTCACACTTTTGCTTGAGTTCAGCTTCTCATCTACCCTAAACGTCTTCTCATCTACCCTATCTATCTACCCTAGGCTTAAAGATTTCTAACTTCTCAAGCAAGTAGACATCTTTAAACAGGTTTTTATCTTCTAATGACATGACTAGATGTCATAAACACGTTCAATTCCACAAACAAGTTCTTATCTTACTCTAAGCAGAATGTCTTGTGACTCTGATGGTGACTCTGTTCCTTTGGCTTAGAGAAATGACATCAGTCACCTCTCATGCTCCTGGCATTTGGGCAACAATGCTTTGTTGTAAAAATTACCCAAGAAACAAAGGGTCCAAGGCCAACACATTTCATAGGCATTACAAGCTCATATTCTAGTTATGTGATTCAGTTGGGAAGTTCAAGTATAGAAATCATAACAGGGGCAATGACATCGAATGACAACCAGGATTAAACAAAAGGAGTTGGGCGACCATCGAATGATAACCAGCTGTAAACAGGGAAATCAGAACAACAAATTAGGGGAAACCGTCAAGAGGCAAGCAGGTCAGATCCACACCAAACGTTATAAACAGATGGTATAATGGAAAATCTCGAGATGGTTCAATAGTCAGTATCAGTTGGGGTGGGAAGGGATATGGGAGATAGATGGCAGGGTAGAAAAAGGGTAGTTTTGGGGCATGGGGGGGGGGGTCCCCACAAATTTGGGACCCAATCCAGATAGGAGGTTAAAGATATGATAGGCCTGCTGGGTTCAGAGAAGGAAAGGCATAATTAGGACACGGTTCCCAAGTCAACAAGAATTTAGGTTGGGAGTTGTTGAGGATACTAGAAAGTTTCTTGTTGAGTAGCAATGGAGTCTTTGTTGGCGAAGCCTGGGATTGGGTAATGAAGCAGAGAATACTTTGCATGCTGGAGCAACAGTTAGAAGAAACAAGGCTTGAAAGACTTCAAAAATCCTGGAGCAAAAGGCATTGAGCTTTGGGCATGACCACCAGGTATGTAGTATGTCACCAATGTCAGACGTCTCTGTCAGAGTAGTTGTGATTAGCTAAGGGACTCATTACCACCAAAGGAGAATTCTATAGGCCAATTCCAGAGTTTCCTATAGAAAGGACACTTTGCCCCCCTGCGAAGATCATATCTAAGCTGTCTATTTGGTTCTTTTTTTTGCCTTTCCAAACTACATTTTGTTATTGACAACAGATGCACCGTTGATTAGTTTTGATTCCGTTTTTGTAAGAAACTCATTGCCAATGTTCTGAACATATTATTTATGTACTGTATTTTAATATTTTGCAGCCCTTGATGAAGGGAGGTCCATTGTAACCTCCCAAACGCATTGGCTTTTACACATTAAAAAATGGACTTTGAGTTTGGGCCATTTACACTGGCTTAGTGCTCTTCCTATTCCCATATTCGGCATGCAGCTCATACGTATCTGTCATTTCAGGAGGAAAGGGGTGTTTGGTCCACCCCTCGGACGATACTTCATCTTCTTTATTGACGATATGAACATGCCGGCCCTGGAGACCTACGGGGCACAGCCACCCATCGAGCTGCTGAGACAGTGGATGGACCACGGCGGGTGGTACGACCGCAAACAGATAGGTAAAGAATATCAATTGTTACATAATTATCATTTATTGATTTTAAATAACCACAGTATCTTCTACAGGGTTCTACAAATGGAAGACATACATGAGAAAATAGACAGGAGAGATCATGACAAAACATCTCTAAAAAGACTTGGACTAGATACAGGACAGATAGCAGTCGTATTGTAGATAACAGAGCAGGGGCGGACTGACAACTCATGGGGCCCCCGGGCAATAGGGGATCATGGGGCCCCTGTGTCCTTGCCCACACTCAAAGCACACCCAAAAAAGCCTATAAAAGGTACCAGGTGCATTTCATGGGGTCCCCTAGTGACCCCAGGCCCTCGGGCGGTGCCCGAATGCTCGAATGGTCAGTCCGTCCCTGTAACAGAGTGATGATAGAAGGAATCAGGTCAAGTGTTGTCAATGAGCTGAGAGTCAGTTGGGTGAGTTCCGTACAAAGGAGCAACGCAAGAGACGTCTGGGAGATGTGAGTGGAGGAAAGGTTCTCCTGGGGTATATAGAAATAATATAAAGAAGAGCCATATTGTTCAGAGGTTTTTCGAATATATAAATCTCTCCCTGGTGTCGTTGTTACATACCATGTGTAGTTGTATTCATTGGAGGCCTCCACATCTGCTATATGACTACTGTAGCATTTTTCATGTGAAACACCGACAGTCCATATTCTGTTTCTTTTCCTCCTGCCAGGGGTCTTCAAGAAGTTGGTAGACATTAATTTTCTGTGTGCAATGGGGCCGCCAGGGGGAGGCAGGAATCCCGTTTCCCCCCGACTGACTCGCCATTTCAACTTCTTGTCCTTCACGGAGATGGCCGACAGCAGCAAAAGCCGAATCTTCTCCAGTATCCTGGGAAGCTGGATGGGTGAGTGTGACTATGGGGCTCTGTTAGACACAGCCAACCAAGGCTTCCTGAGGGGTTGGACACTTTGGGAGACCTTGTCCAATGGATTGGTTTTCCCTTTCAACCCTCCATAGAGGGGTCATCCCTGATTGTCTGACCGCTCTCTAATGTCTATGACCAGCTTTATTGAATAAGTCAATGAGCAGAACTTGTAACTCAAAGTGACCATTTGGAATTGATCCTTTTCAGATATAGACTGTATTCTAAATTCTTATTAACTGCCATGGGTTACTGCGTTTTTGTTTTCTTTGAACTTGCTGAATAAACCTAATCTTGGTCTTCTACAAGTCGCCAATGAACCTTCTGTTATTGCAGATTACACCCATTGGCCACTTTAATAGGTACACTTGTTCAATTGCTTGGTAACACAAATTGCTAATCAGCCAATCGCATGGCAGCAACTCAATGCATTTAGTCATCTAGATGTGATGAAGATGACTTGGTGAAGTTCAAACCGAGCATCAGAATGGGGAGGAAAGGGGACTTAAGTGGCTTTGAATGGGGCAAGGTTGTTGGTCTGAGTATTTAAAAAACTGCTGACCTGCTGGGATTTTCCCGCACAACCAATCCCTAGGGTTTACGGAGAATGGTTCCGAAAAAGTGAAAATTTCCAGTGGGCAGCTGCTGTGTGGACGAAAATGCCTTTTTGATGTCAGAGGTCAGATGAGAATGGGCAGACTGGTTCGAGGTGATAGAAAGGCAACAGTAACTCCAATAACCACTCGTTACAACCAAGGTATGCAGAATACCATCTCTGAATGCACAACACGTCCAACCTTGAAGCAGATGGGCTACAGCAGCAGAAGACCACACCGGGTGCCACTCCTGTCAGCTAAGAACAGGAAATGGAGGCTACAATTCGCACAAACTCACCAAAATTGGACAATAGAAGATTGGAAAAATGTTGCCTGGACAATAACTTCAATTGCAACTTCAATGAGTCTGGACTTCAGCTGCAACATTCAGATGGTAGGGTCAGAATTTGGCGTAAGCAACATGAAAGCATGGATCCATCCAGCTTGTATGAACGGTTCAGGCTGGTGGGTGTCATGGTGTGGTGGATCCATCCTGCCTTGTATTAACGGTTCAGGCTGGTGGTGGTGTGTCATGGTGTGGTGGATCCATCCTGCCTTGTATCAACGGTTCATGCTGGTGGTGGTGGTGTCATGGTGGGATGGATCCATCCTGCCTTGTATCAACGGTTCCGGCTGGTGGTGGTGGTGTCATGGTTTGGGGGAGATTTTCTTGGCACTAGCAAGGTGGACCTAACAAATGGCAAATGAGTGTATGCTGAAAGTTCACTTCCCACTCTATTTTTTGATTGGCTGTTTCTTTGTCACTCTTGAAAAATGGAGAGTCAAAAAATGAAGAGAACTGGAGTGAGAGACAGGAGAGCGCTATATACTGTAGATTCTGTGGGTTGTTAACAGCCACAAATAGGAAAGGATAGCTGAATGATGTTAAATTTGGGTAGGTTGCAGTAAACCATCAAAATGATACCCAAGCTGTCATCAAGCATATGAAGAATATCTACATCTATATCAGATCTTTATTTTGGTGGAACTTCACAGTCAGTGCAAAGGGAGAACCAGGCCTTAGTCCTCAGAGTGGGCTGTGTCAGGAGTGGTTGGTGGGAAAGAGCTTTTTTATTGCCTGTATGTTTTTAACCATTGGTCACTTTTCTAGTCTTCCATCATCTTTATTCCCTTGCAGCTGGTGTACCGACTGTCCAACAACTCACCAAGCAGTTAGTTGATGCAACAATAAAAGTCTACAATACAATCACTTCACAGTTGCTCCCCACTCCAGCAAAATCCCACTACACCTTCAATCTGCGAGACCTGTCCAAGGTGTTCCAGGGCATGCTGATGGCTGATTCAGCCAAAATGGAGGTGAGAACCTGGCGCAAAGAAGTTTCAAAAGTTGTTTTTAAAGCACATATTTATAGATAATAACGACATCGTGCAAAAGTGAATGGATCTGATAATAACTAGATATTTGTTTTAATTATTTAAATCTTGCCCCATTTATACCAATCCGGCCAAAATACAGTTTTCTTGGAAGAGGTTTCCAATGTTTAAAGACATTGGCCAAAAAAAAATTCACTGAAAACTCATTCTTCCCTCTACCCCAGTGTTCTGTGTTGTACATGGTGCACAGGGGAATTCTCAACACTTCCCTGGTGGAGGTGAACTACAAAGTGCCGTCTCGTTGGTATCTTGTTCCAACACAATCTACCCTAAACTTCTTCTCCTCTACCCCAAACCTCTTCTCATCTACCCTACACGTAAAGATTTCTAACTTCTCAAGTAAGTAGACATCCTTAAACAGGTTCTTATCTTATCTTCTAATGTGACATTACTACAAACAAGTTTTTATCGTGCTCTAAGCAGAATATCTTGTGACTCTGATGGTGAATCTGTTCCTTTAACCTAGAGAAATGGCATCAGTTACTTCTTATGCTCCTGGCATTTGGGTGACCAATTGATGAGCCCATTAAGCTTTGGCAAGAATCCCAGCGTCAGAGTGTCCTCTGGTAACTACGGGCCTTCCTAATCGATCCTGCTTAAACTCCCTGCTTTTAAACCATTTTTCTGGAAACCTTCCAACAGTGGGCGGGTGCCACCCCCACTCTAGGAGGAGCTAGCAGAAAGGTTCCGCGAGGATAACAGAGTCATGCTCAGCCACCATATTGATTCCATATGTTATCTGAAAAGTCACACTTTTGCTTCACTTCAGCTTCTTATCTACCCTAAATATCTTCTCATCTACCCTAGACTTAAAGATTTCTTACTTCGCAAGCAAGTAGATGTCTTTAAACAGGTTTTTATCTTCTAATGTGACATGACTAGATGTCATGAACACGTTCAATCCCACAAACAAGTTTTTATCTTGCGCTAAGCAGAATATCTTGTGACTTTGATGGTGACTCTGTTCCTTTAACCTAGAGAAATGACATCAGTCACTTTTCATGCTCCTGGCATTCGGGCAACAATGCTTTATTGTAAAAATTACCCAAGAAACAAAGGGTCCAAGGCCAACACATTTCATAGGCATTACACCCTTGTATAGATCTGTGGACATGATAGAAAAACCTCATTGACCAATAAGTAGGCTCAGGGAATTAGAGGGTGCTGGGTTAGCTTTTACATTTGCAGGAGAAGTAGGGATTTGCATATAATTATAGCTACTTAAATTTGTGAATTTACTAATTGTTATGACATGCGGTCACAATGAATGGCGGTGTGGTTGCAGTTCCATACAGTATATTTGTGTCTCCTTATACATGTAAATTCTTTAGTGACCGGGGTGTTTGTTCCTCTCATCACCAGCAGTAACAACTTTATTGTATAACTGTTGTCTTCACTTCACAGTTCCTTTTGTGTCTCGTAGGACAAGTTCAGCCTCTTGAAGTTGTGGTACCACGAATCTTGCCGGGTCTTCCAGGACCGTCTGGTGAACGAGGAAGACCGCAACTGGTTTGATGAGTTGATGAAGGGCCGGATGGAGGAGTTTGGGGCCACTTTCCAGGAAGTGGTGCCACAGCAGCCGGTGTTATACGGAGATTTTATGACTTCTGGATCAGATTCCAAATCCTACCAGCTCATTGAGGATCGGGAGAAGGTAAGGAGAAAATACCAGGCCACAACATTATCTCTCCTCCAGTGATGTGGTTCAAAGTTCTTTCAAGGGAGAACCTCAGATTTGCTGACATACAAGTAATCTTCTCCATGGAAGACATGTATACTGAGAGAACTTTGAGTGATCCCTCAGTACATAGTTACATAGTTGGTCTGGCTGAAAAAAGACAAAAGTGTATCCAGTTCAACCATTAACCACTTCCCGTCTGGCCGTTGTATATAAACGGCCAGACTGTGGCAGTGCAGGGTTGGGTGGATGTTTATAAAAACGGCCTCCACGCCCCCTGCTTGTGCGTTCTCCCTGGGAGCGTGCAGCACCACGATCCGGTGCCCGCTGTGTCCTCTGGACACAGTGGAACACCGATCGTTGGACGGGACCTCTGTGCGAGGTCCCCGATCATGTGATCACTGATTGGTCAATCAGTGATCACATGCAGAGTAGTAAGCAAGATGTCACTTCTGACATCATTGCTTACTACATGTGAAATCTGTGAATGATCACAGAGGTCACATGGTACAGGGCTAGTCACAACAGCCTTGTACCATGTGAGAAGCTGTGACCAATCACAGCTCACACAGTAGTTCTCAATGAGTGCAAGAATGCAGCCAGAGAGAAGGAGAAATGATTGCTTTTTCAGCCTTAATGGGTGTAAAAGCAATCAGTGTAAAAAAAAAAATCTTCATCACCCCCCACAAGTAGTACAGTGTCTCCATGGTGACACTACTGCTAGGGTGACAGTATGTAAAAAAAAAAAAAACATAATAAAAAAAAAAAGTAAAAATGTAAAAAACAATGTTTAAAAATTATAATTTTTAGTTATAAACTGATTTGGGTTATTTTTTTTTTTACTAAAAAGATAACGAATACATTTTGGCCGAGATTTATGATGAAATATTATTTATTTGCAAACTTTTATAAGAAAAACACTTTTTTTTTAATTTTTGAACTTTTTCATTTGCATAGCAAAAAAAATAAAAATCCAAGTGGTGAATAAAGGGGTGGAAAGGTGGGGAACGGGCGTGTGGAAATGCGTCCGGACTGGAAGGGGGTGAAAAGTGTCCGGACTGGAAGGGGGTGAAAGTGTCCGGAATTTTTCCAGTGAAAGTGTCTGGAAGGGGGGTTTGGGGAAAGCGTCCGGACTGGAAGTGGGTTGAAAGCATCCGGACTGGAAGGGGGGGAAAGCGTCCGGACTGGAAGGGGGTGAAAGTGTCCGGACTGGAAGGGGTTGGAAAGCGTCCGGACTGGAAGGGGGTGAAAGTGTCCGGACTGGAAGGGGGGTGAAAGTGTCCGACTGGAAGGGGGGTGAAAGTGTCCGGACTGGAAGGGGGTGGAAAGCGTCCGGACTAGAAGGGGGTGGAAAGCGTCCGGACTGGAAGGGGGTGGAAAGCGTCCGGACTGGAAGGGGGTGGAAAGCGTCCGGACTGGAAGTGGTTAAAAAGTTATCCTATACCCACTATCCAGAGGAAGGCAAAAAAAAAACCCAGCAAAGCATGATCCAATGTGCTCCTGCAAGGAAAAAAGCACCCACATAAACTGCACAGAACCAGTGCTATAATTAGTGCACACAAATACAAAATGAATAATCCTTAATAGTGATCTGTCCCTTTAAATCCTAAATACCATCACGTGGACCTGTGTGGTACATCTCCTGTATATCGTGATCCAAATACACCAACAACAAATGTCATCTGGATAAAGTCTCAAAAGTGGTGATCCGTTCCTTTAAATCCGCTGTACTTCAGGTGGACCAATGTAAACACACTACTGTATAAACGTGTCCGGTGCTCCTGCGTCACCCCTTAGTGCTCTTCCACCTCCAACACTCTTTTTGCGTTCACCTCTCATGTTTGACCCGTAATGACAGGTCAAACTGCGCTTCTCCCTTTAACCTGGGAGGGTATAATAGTACACAGATCTTCACCACCGTTAGCCAGTACTTTTAAGCAGATCCAAATCGCTCCATTTCCATGTGAAAAAAATGCTCAATATAGTGTAGTATTTCCAGTAAAACAGCCTTCATTAAAACAATCTAGTTTCAACTCACATTAAAATGTGTCCTCCTGGGACACTACAGGGTTAAAAACTCACTATACAGTGTTTTTCTGTCAAATGTATGAAGAAATCCCTCTTCCAAAGTGGCGGCACGTGCACTTCCGGTTAACGGCCTGACGTCCTCGGCGTACCCTACGCGTTACGTCACATCACGTGACTTCATCAGTAGTCAATAGATGTTGTGGATTGTTCTCCAACAATCATCATGCCCAAGTTGCTGAATGGTTTTGACATTTTTGGGGGTTGAGCTTGTTGAAGGTCTTCCTGATCTCTCGTCGTCTTCTAGTGATGTTCTTCAGCTCTTGAAGCAAGCGTGCCACTCAAAACGCCTCAAACATCTCATTGCAGCATCGCCGTAAACATGCCGATTCATGTCAGATGTCTCTGTGACAGATTTGCCCAGTTTCATGCAGAATTGTACGCATGCCCTTTGTTCTAACTAGCAGTCCATGGTGAAGTAGCAGACGTGGGTAAACTGACGTGGTCAGAATCGCACCAGTTGCATAGTTCTCGATGTACACAGGACAATGTCTTTTGGCACATTGACTTATGAAGGTTGGTGCTCCCTGTGACTGTGTGTGAAGCCTTGTGCTGCTATCTGTTGGCATGTTACAAGACTACACAAAGAATGGCAACCATCCCAACCTATAACCAACCTCAGCAGTAAGGTGCACATGGAAGGGCAATGCACATCGCAAACAAACAAAGGATTTCCCGGCAACACTTGCCAGCCAGCCTGCAAAACAACCAATTTGGCAGTCTAACAGTTTGCTTTAAAAACAGGGGGTTTAGTTTGCACACACTTGCAAACACATGCGTAAGCCACAGTCCCACGTCAAGGGTCCTCTGTATACCGTGGACCTAACTAAAATTCCAAAGCCTCCATAGTAGGAGCACATGTATCAATGGATAGGTTGAGGGCAGGTGCCTGGAGGAGCCCATCCCTCCTTTAAGGTACAGGGACGCACGTGACGCCCAGCTATACCAAAATGACAGCAAAGGCAACCCATGCATTCAAATTAGCCAACTACACAAAAAATGGCGACCGTCCCAACCTATAACCAGCCTTGGCAGCAAGGTGCACATGGAAGGGCAATGCACATCAAACAAACATTGTGCTGCTATCTGTTGGCATGTTACAAAACAGTTTTGAGACTAGTTTTGT